AGTAACGATATGAAAGGGTAAAGACGAATAAAAAAATGGAATATTTATTACATTTTTTAATATAAAACAAATCGTATGTATAAGTTATATATACAATAATTGAAACCGTCCTCAAAGTAATATTTCAAGGTAAAATGTCATTCTTTGTTTCATTTTTTTTTTCTTTTGTAGAAATAATTTATTGCACGTGCGCACAAAGTATAGATCTACGCTTGACTTTATAAAATATGTCGTTGACGACAAACATTGATCATTCATGAATAGAAATTTTATAATATACAATTGTAATTGCATGCAGAATTAAAACTTCAAATCTTCGCATTAACGTAATATACACCTCATTACATTCCTTCTTGGCAGGCTCCAATTATTTCAATGTAATGTGAGACATTATTAATTATTTGAACATGTTCAGGCTGAGTCATCCCCTGGGGCAGATGTAGAATTTCTTTGAGGCTCGATTTGAGTTCTATTTTGCGCAGTTCCCGTTGCAACAGCTACTTTATGTTGCGCAGCTAAACAATGTACTTGCTGGAGTTGTACAGGTTTAACTAAAGTTCTCTGTAACTACAAAACAAATCATGTAATATTTTATTCACAAAAATATATTGTTTGTAATGAAACCAATTACGAAAAATATATATTCTGCTTCACATACTTGTTGCTGTGTTAGAGTCGCCACACCAAGACTCTGGGTTTGTTGACTGCATTGCCCTGTAGAAGCTCTAGCATGCAAGGATTTTGTCAATAAAGTTTGTTTATTTGCAGGTACTACTTGGGAAGAAGGTGTCGTCTGAGACGCCATAAGCACTGGTTTCGTTGCTGCTATAAAGTATATTATTTTTTATGTACAGAGTTTTGTAAAAAGTAATTTGCATGTTATATTTCCTTCAGTGCAAGGAGATATTCAGCAAAAAATATTTATAAACATTGTTGAAAGAAATAATACTCCAATATACAAAATGGTTTATAGTAAATGATACCAATGTTTATCAATGTACGGTTCTTTCAATAAACTTACCCATTATGGGAGTTAACACCTGTTTGTTACCAGATAATATCAACTGACTCGCTGTCACTGTCTTAGCCACAGTTACTAGTTGATTTGGCAAAACAGTGGACTTAACTTGATTCGGTTGCACTTGACGGGTCATATGATTAAGTCTTGGCCTTTGAGATCCAACAAGTTGAATAGCTTGTCCACCCTAAAAGATATTTATTTATTTCATTAGAATAGTAAAATTGCAATAATAAAACTTTCAAATAGATTACCTGTGATAGGGTGACTGAATTACTGCTACGTATATTTTGTTGTGATAATCCTTTAACTCCAGAAGGTATTATCTGGGCTGAAACACACGTATTAAATATTGTACTGATTCACCGAATAAGTATTTACTTCACGAAAATGTAGATTATTTACTTATCAATAAACTCGAAAAGAGTTTTCAATACATAATCAAATATGACTCTTACCAATAGGTAATGATAAATGAGTATTGGCAGGATTAGCTATTACTACCGTTGGTGTACTTCCAGCAATGGCCGTGGTAACAACTGTTGTGGCTACCATCTACAAAGACGGCAACATTTCGTTAATCACCTTTTGCATTCTCCCATATGTTAAACTGAACGTGCAAACGCGTGAAATTGAAAGAAACTGACACTAGAAACCGTGGTGCAAGTATTGGTTGCGGACGATATAGGCAGGGAAACAATGACTCCTGTAGGTGTAACAGAACCCGTCGTCGCTGACACGTTTAGCGACATCGTAATAGGCTGTGATAATCCGGGAAATGATACCTGTCGTACAACGAATAGTACAGTAGTATTTCATCTTCTAGGCCATATGAAGAAATAAGCAGCTCTCCACAACCTGAACATTTTGAAGACCGTTGATCGAGTTTGGCAGACTAGTAAGATTTACGCCCTGCAAGTTTACGTTAGTCGATTGCGATGTGGTCATTGGATTCGTAGACTGATTATTCTGACTGGAAGAAGCGGTTAGTCGTTCAAGCAAAGAAGAACCGGAATTAATTCCTGGTATTGGATTATCTGCAGACGGCGTCCCTGTTGAAGTGAAATATGATGCGTTAAACTTCAAATAAGTATTTGAGAAATTTTTCAGTTTTCCATACGTCATACCTGCTAATAAAGCTGAAAGTCCTGGCATGGATAACCCAAGGGTTGAAGTAGGATCTTGTACCCGTGCTAATCTTACAGCTGTTGCTTTCACCGGTTGCTGTTTACATCCCAACTGTCCTGTTAAAGCTGAACTTAAACTCACCCTTACCTGGAAAATACATTTGTCTCATTTACATCGCAACTTCACATTCAAACAACAATAAATACAATTTATTTACCTGGCCGGTAGTGTTTGGAACATTTATAACATTTCCATGACTAAGAACTCTAGACGGGATGGAAGCATTCAAAGAGATCCTTCGCGGTTGAACTTTCTGCTGCGTTAAATTGGCAGGACTACTATTTAATAAACTAAGGATCGCAGCGTTATTTGACTTATTCGTAGTCTG